GTAGTTTAATTCAGATGTTGATTCACGGAAAGCATCCTCATTGACATGGACAGATTTTGTGTTTACATGCATCCATAGGAATCCACCCCTCACCCCCAAATCTGCTGTAGTTGCCATGCTGGGTCATTAGTTGGCGCTGTGAATTTTGTACATTCACCTAATCCGCATGTTTGCTGCCTCGGACTGCTCTAGTAAGGTCTGTGATTCCCCAATCTGTTACGGAACCTGATCCGTAGTGTAGTTCATTTACACATGTGCTAAAAGGAATACTTCCAGGTTGCACGGATTGTCTTTGAAGATGCTAGATTAAGGAAAATGTACTAGTATAATTTCGTTTATGAGTAAGAACGGTCTTAATTTACTTAGAAAAGTATGTGCTCTATTTCTGCCCATTTTCATGTTGCTTATTTACGCCTCTTGTATTTTCGTTAAAATCATTGACATATTTACGTCTTGGTTAAAATGATATGCAGCTTCACCACTGAGCGGCACTGTTTCACCATGGAAATTATTCATCCTGTATCTTGCAGGGTTTTTCTCATTCAGCCAAGGATGGGGGTCAGGTCTAATGCGTCGCATATTATCTTAACCAATGATTTGTAACGGAAATACGAGTGGCATAAATTATCTACATTAAGATCGGTCGAGATACAGCACATACTTTTCTAAGTAAATTAAGACATTTTTATTCATAAACAACCGCGAACAGTGCAACCCAAAATTACACTACAGATCGTACTTCTGTAACAGATTGGGGAATGACAAGGTCCTTCCTCTGGGCTGAAAGCACAGCTAACAACAAATTAACAGCAAGTTAAAGCTGGGTTTTGGATACGAGTCAGCAGATTTTTAATTTTTATTTTTCCTGCATGAAGAAACTGTCCTCCCACCAGAGGTGGACCAGTTCCGAAAGAGCCTTGGCCGAAAGAGCCTTGGCCCAGATGTGGTGCAGGGGGACGTCGAATAGAGAGATGTTGGATCAACTATTTATTTAAAATTCCCCTCAATTCTTTTTTTCCTCCATATCCATTCAATGTTTTAAGCTGCATTAAGCAAAGGAGTGACAGCCTGAACGAGCCAGATAAACAACATGGCGTCAGTATCCAGGACTACAACAGAGAGGAAGAGTACAGTTCATTAAGTTTACAGTTCTGATAAAGTGTTTTTAATAGTGTTCAGTTTTTTTATCAGTGTTTGTGTGACATACAGTTTGTGGTGTTGAATAAATAAATAAAAATTAAACCTGATCTCTTCATTTTTAACTTTATTAACACACAATATGTTTCGCATTGTTTAAATCAATTCAATTTAATTCAATTCAGTTTATTTATATAGCTCCAAATCACAACAAATTGTCTCAGGGCACTTTACAGAAACATTCACATACATAAAAGCCAATTAGTAAAGTTCTCTATCTAAGGAATCCAGCAGACAAGTTGAATCTTGGCTTCGTTGCAGTCTCCCATCCTGAGCAAGCACAGTGGCAACAGTGGAAAGGAAAAACTCCCTTTTAAAAGGAAGAAACCTCCAGCAGAACCAAGCTCAGGACAAGCGGCCATCTGCTTTGACCGGCTGGTTGAGAGGACAGGAAGGAGAGACAAACAAACACATAATGGTAGGTCCAGGTATAGGTCCAGGTGTATCTGACAGACAAAAAAACCCTCCACATGTTAAGGATAGAAAAAATAATTACAAATACAAAACAGGTTGAGCAGAGTAAATACAGCCAGTAGCAGAGTGAAAATTGTGGTCAGTTTGTCCTCCAGCAGTCTAAGCCTATAGAAGCATAATTAAGGGACAGCTCAGGAAACCCAAGCCGACCCTAACTATAGGATTTAGCAAAAAGAAAAGTCTTAAGCCTAGTTTTAAAACTGGATAATGTGTCAGCCTCACGGACAGAGATTGGAAGTTGGTTCCACAAGAGAGGAGCTTGATAACTGAAAGATCTGCCTCCCATTCTGTTTTTGTAAATTCTAGGAACCACACGTAAACCTGCAGTCTGAGAGCGAAGTGGTCTGTTAGGAAAATATGGAACAATAAGATCTGGAATATAAGATGGAGCCGGGTTGTTTGAGAGCTTAGTAGGTTAGAAGTAAGATTTTGAATTATATTCTGGATTTGACAGGGAGCCAATAGAGAGAAACTAAAACTGGAGAAATATGATCTCTCCTACTAACTCTGGTTAAGACTCTGGCAGCAGCATTTTGGATCAACTGAAGACGTTTTAAAGACGTATTTGGACATCCAGATAATAAACCATTTCAATAGTCCAGTCCAGACGTGACAAATCACATAACTTGAATTACATAATGTCCAGATAGCTTCATTACATCTCCCACAATTTACAGAAGTACTGTTTATTATTGTTAAACTGTTATAATTTAGCACATTTTGTATGTAGTCCAGTGCTACACGTGAAATATCTGCCTACTTCGGTCAATAAATAGCGATATTAGATCCGACTGGCGTTTCTTCCCAACACAGATGTCAGTCACAGCAGCTACATTCCGGTGTAGATTAACTACGAGACCCATAATACTTTCCATCAGTTGTAGCACAGAAAAACAGTATGATATACTCTGCCGCCATTGTTGTTGATAGAAATATGAGGTTGGTCCGCACGTACGTGAAATATATGCCTATACTGCACATGTGCTTTAACCTCTCTGCGGGAAATGTTTACAAACCAGCGGGCGGCCACCTTGAAAACCTCCTGAGAGGTGGGTTCAGAAACCTCTGGATTCAAAGAGTGGGGCAACTGGTGTTGTGTAAATGAACAGCAGAACTGCAGAGAGAAAAGTATGATTTCACTCAAAATATGTTTCATGCAAACAGCCCCTTATTATCAAGAAATATCCCAACACTTCCTCTTGGAGAAAAAAAAAAGATAACTCCTAATGGAGTGGAAGTGGTGGCATAGAAGTTAGACAAGGTTGGCCTGTGATCATAAAATTGCTGGTTTAACTCCTGGTACTGACAACATCAAAATGTGGGTGGGATAGGGGAAGTGCCCACACTTGCCTCCACCCTCACTTGCCTCACTCTGGGCCCTTGAGCAAGGCCCTTAACCCCACCATCTGCTCCCCTGGGCACCCTAGATAGCAGCTCTCTGCTCCACACAGAGGGCTGTGGTAGCTCGGTGGTCTGTGGTCGTATTAGGAAGGGCATCTGGCATAAGAATAATTGTTAAGTCTTCATGCGACAGTTCGCTATGGCAACCCCTGACGAAGGGAGCAGCTGAAAGAAAAAAAATAATAATAAAAATATGATAACTCCTAATATTACCTTTTCTCCAAGTGTGCCAATCACTGACAAGCCATCAAGGCCTTGTGGTCCTGGTAAACCTACTTCACCCTAAATATGACAATTAAAACACAGCACACACACACACACACATATACAGATTGTGTTTATTTAATTGTTTTAACAAAGAATAATACATTTATAAAAGATTGATCAACTATTATCATGAATTGATTTAATAATGATTTTTCTCAGATAAAAAAACACTGAAATAATAAAATAATCAGTTTCTTGTAAATCCTCCTGTTTTCAAAATCCAATGATATATTTACAGGAATTAACTGTTGAAAAAAACTCACCTTTTGCTATAACAATTGTAGAATGCAGCTTTGTCACATTTTCAAAGAAATCATTCAGTGAGACTCAGAGCTGGATCTTTTTTTGGGTGTGGCACTGAGTTACCAAAGGTTTTCCTTAAGCAATCTTTGAATACTTTTTGCTCGGTGGACTGCTGCATTATTCTCCTACAAACAACTCCAGCATCATCAAATCTACTTTCCAATTAGGAATGAAAAATGTTTCAAACTTTCATGTAGTTTTCTGTACTGTTCCTTCAGGCTGTGATAGACTGAATATTTAATTAAACCAAAGTAAAGTTAAAGTATTCTGTCCTTGTTCAAATGAAATTAGTGATTGGTATCCAACCATCTACAGTTCATGACTTTTTGATTTTTGCCCAACTGTAATCTTGTTTTATTCTGTCACATTCACTCACTGGACACATTATTAGCTTCACCTAATTATTACTATTGGGTTTGACTGCCTTCTCCTGACTTTCTGATCTTGTTAACTTCCTTCAGGACCAGGAATACCTTGCAAAAGAGATCTGTGATCTTTGTGGGATAAGTTTTTTTTCTTTCTATTTCTAGTATGATTCAGTACGTGACAAGAGTTTGCCCAATGGGGGTTAAATATATATATTTTTTTAATTTAGATGTGTCTTTTTTCATTCAACCTTTATTTATACAGGTTAATCCAACTGTGCCTCAGGGACTCATTTACAATAGAGACCTGTTTAATGACCTGTCTTAATATTTTCTGAGGCATAGACTGTAAAAATATTTAGAAACATTCCTCAGAGATATGGTCCATAGTGACATGATAGCATCATACAGATGATACAGATTTCTAAGCTGCACATTCTTGATGCAAATCTCCCATTCCAACATATTCCAACGATGCTGCAGGCTTGCACAACCATCACTAGTGATTTAAATCACATTAGCTGGGAATCTACCATTCCCACATTCCACAGGTTTGTTAGTACATGGGGTAATAAAAAATGGGACCTCCTGTGTGCTAAGGTTAGAGATGCTAAGAGAGCTACGGCCTGCATTTTAAACTTGAACAGAAATACAAGGCACTAGTGCATTGGAAAATCTATTCATTCATTAGCTATTGCTTTTCCCAGAATCGGGTGGCAGGGACAGCAGCTTGAGCAGAAAGGTCCAAATATCTTTCTCTCCAGCCACCTCCTCTACAAGGATTTCAAGGTGTTCACAAATCAGTCAAGAGACAGTTTCTCCAGCATGTCCTGGATCTTCCCCGGGGTCTACTCCCAGTCCAACATGCCTGAAGCACCTCCCCAAAGAGGCGCCCAGGAAGCATCCTTACCAGGTGTCTGAATCATTTCAATCGACTCCTCGGGATGTGGAGGAGGAGCAGCAGCTCTTCTCCGAGCCTCTCCTGGATAACTGAACTTCTTTCCCTATCTCTAAGGGAGAGTCCAGCTACCCTGCAGAGAATCATTTTGACTGCCTTTATCCGCATTCTTATTCTCTCAGTCACTACCCAGAGTTCAGAACAATAGAAGAGGGTAGGAACATAGACGACCTGGTAAACGGAGAGCTTGGCCTTACAGCTCAGCTCCGTCTTCATCACAATGGATTGGCACAGATCAGTGAGGCATCTGTAGTATTGCAAACCCTGTCTGTTATTGTCATGCTCCAGCCATTCTTCCCTCTCTTGTGAGTAAGCCCCAAAATACAAAAGTTCATGCTCAATAATCCAGGTAAAAATTCAACAATGTTCAATCAGGTCATCTAAAATACTTACATTGATTAATTTAATTTAAAATGATGCTTTAATTCCTCCATCTCAGGCAGAACCTCAATAACAAACTGGAGAGATCAGTATTCCCTTTTTCGACTGAGGATAACAACCTCAGATTTGGAGGTGCAGATCCTCATCCCAGCCATTTTACACTTGGCAAAGGCACATCAACCAAGACAGCCCTGAAACATCCAGAGTCTTGAGGAACTCAAAGCAGATCTCATCCATCCCCAGAGCCTTGCAACCTAGGGTTATGTAAAGACCAAACCTGAAGTCCCCTGACTTAGCTTCCTCCATGGGAGATGTGCCATTGGAATAGAGAAGGTCTGAGAAGTATTTCTTCTGCCTCCCTATGACATCAATTTTTGAGATCAACAGTGCCACTCCTTCACTTAACACAGTGTTGGAAAGGCTTTCCTCATCTCAGCCACCCGATGGTCTGCCCGAATCTCCTTGAATTCAATCAAAAGTCTCTGTCCAAGGTCTCACCAAAGTCCTTCCACATGCGAGCCTTTGCCACAGCAACAGCCAGGGCTGCAGTCTGATTGACCTGCTAATACCCCTCAGCTGCCTCCAGAGTCCTATGAGCCATCTAGGCCGAACAGGACTCTTTCTTCAGTTTGACAGTCTTTCTATCCCAGAGAGTTCACCACCAAGTTTGTGGATAGCCACTGCGAGAAGCACCAGCAAATTTGTGGCCACAGCTCAAGGCAGCCGCCTCAACAATTGAGGCACAGAACATGATCCACTCTGACTCAATGCCCCCTACCACAGCTGGGATGCAGTTAAAGTTCTCTTGGAGATGTGAGTTGAAGATCTTTCTCATGGGTTCTTCTGCCAGGCGTTTCCAGAAAATCTGTCTGTCTGGTATCTTCCCCTACCATCTGATCTGACACAACCAGGTGCTAATTAGTTGACAGCTCAGCTGCTCTCTTCACTTGAGTGTTTTAAACATACAGCTGCAGATCTGATGGTCACACAGTCATTACCCATGTGGGCATTGAAGCAGAATATAGGAGTCTCCATCTGGAGCAGGGGTGTCAAACTCAAATACACAGTGGGCCAAAATTTAAAATTAAACAAAGCCGCGGGCCAAAGTTGAACAAATGAACCTTTTAATATGGACCCAAACAAGTGTTGCTTTAACACTGAATATGGAACAAGCAACGCTTATATAACTTAATAGTGCAGACATGCAAAATCAAAAACAAACAAACAAACAAAAAAAACATCAATGGCATATTAAATAAAATTTTAATAAAAATTGTATGCCTCTTTTCTATTTGCAGCCTTCTGAGGTAAATATCAAAATAAACTTTTTCCACAGGCTAATACATTTGAAAATAAAATAACAACAATGAATGAATCAACTGTTGTAGCTGAGTGGTTAGAGCAGTCATCCTCCATTGCAAGAGTTGGGGGTTTGAATCCACCAGCAGTCACTTGTCTAAGTGTCTCAGGGCAAGACACTGAACCCATCGATGTCTCTGATGTGTGTCCCATTGGTGTATGAATGTGATAAAGCTCTGATTAGTCTCTTTAGAATGATTTGTTCACTTAGCTTTGTAGAGATCTACAAAGTAGTAAAGTGCTGTATGAATGAGTAAATGAGGCACAGATTGTGTTGAAAAGCGCTTTGAGTATCTCGATAAGATAGAAAGGTGCTATACAAGTACAGTCCATTTACCATCAACCATTCAGGCCTTTGAGTAGCAAGAAAAAGTGCATAAAGAAAACGTTAATTATTGCTCAGTTGATCTAATCACTGATCTAATCTGATGTGCCCAAGCCTGGCATCTTTTCTTGGATGCTAGTTCATCAATGTCTGTGCTCAGGCTCTGAGGAAACCCTCAGAATCGAACGAAGGTGTTCATCAATCAGACGTCTCCTGTGAGATGTTTTTGTCATCTTCATCAAGGAGAAAAGTTGCTCACATAGATAAGTGCTGCCGAACAGGGAGAGCAATTTGGTTGGTTGGTGCGTTGTCCACATCAACTGCGAAGGGATTTTTGGACATCAAAGTCGGCAAATCGCTGGCTAAACTCAACACCGAGTACACTGAGTTTTTCAGCAAACTGTGCACACACAGTGGTAGAGATCTGTTTTTTTATGGTTTGGCAGCAGTGAAAATGGCCAAGGTTTCCTTGCAGCATCTGCTTCTCCCACAGGCACAGTTTAGTTTTAAAAGCTCTCACTGCTGCGTACATGTCTGTGATGATGCGTCCCTGCCCATGCAGCTGCAGGTTCAGCGCATTGAGATGGCTTGAGATGTCAAACAGAAAAGCCACCTCACACAGAAATGTGTGCTCCCGGAGTTCTGCTGTGTCCTTCCCTTTGCTTTCCAGAAACTGACATATTTCCTCACGCAGCTTGAAAAATTTGTTCAGTACATTTCTGCGGCTTAACCGTCTCACCTCTGTGTGATATGGCACATCTGCGTATTCCGAACCACACTCGTCCAGAAAAGACTTAAACTGGCGGTGATTCAGACCTTGGGCTCTTATAAAGTTAACAACTTGTGTTACTGTGGTCATGACGTGTTCCATCTTAAGGGCTTTATCACACAGTGATTCTTGATGTATGATGCAGTGATAAACAGATAGCTTACCTGCACAGTTCTCTTTTCCCGAATCCTGCCCACCAGTCCATTCTTTTTACCGCTCATCGCTGGCACACCATCTGTGGTTAATCCCACGAGTTTATCCCACGGCAGCTTCATTTCATTACACATTTGCAAGACTCCTCAAAGATTTCCTTCCCTGTGGTTGTGCCATGCATGGAGTTAAATCCTAAAAGCTCCTCCGTAACACACAGATTTGAGTCCACTCCGCGTATGAACACTGACATCTGCGCAGTATCTGATGTGTCTGTGCTCTCGTCCACTGCAAGGGAGAAAGAAACTAAATCTTTTCCCTTTTCCATCAGCTGGTCATACAGATTGGTGGCAAGTTCACATGTGTGCTCAGCTACTGTGTTCCTGCTGAGGCTCGCGTTTGAAA